TGCTGCTTGGCTCATAACACCGCGCTTACACCAAGCCAGTTTTAAGGCAAAGATTTGTCAGGCTAAAATAGCTGGAAAATTATATTTTTTTATTGGTGTTGTAAAAATGTCTCGTTGAGAGTTTAAGCAAGGCTTCACCAATCGCCGCTCGCAAAAATTAAAGAAATTTAAATTTAAAAAAATATTTAAATATTTCACAAATATGTTTAGAGCATTGAAAGAATTTACTAAAGAAAATACTAATAAATACAATAGACTGTCATTTTGAGTTATGGTGGTGCTTTCTACTGAGCAAATAGAATATAGTAGCGTAATGTGCTGCCGCATTACTAACAGAACATCGTACAAGATGTACAAATAAATGTGTTGTTGCCACAACCCGCTGCGCTTGACACCTTTGTTTGTATATCGATGTATGAACATTTTCCCGCTCCCAAAAAATACATAACCGCAAAAAAGTTTTTTTTAATGCAAAAAAAAAACTTGCAAAAAAAAAAAAAAACAAATACAACCACAACTACTAATACACACGCAAACACACTGAATGCTATAATGGCAAACATATACATATATAATACACTATGAACTAAAATAACGTACACCGCTTTGTAAAACCACCACCTGCCCCTCTTAAACATATACCAACCATCCTCTAAATGACCAAACAACCGTTAAACTAATCAACAACCGTCTTACCGAATCCAATCTAACTACTTCACAACTTCAACACAACCAACTACAACAACATCAATAACTACAACTAACAACGTTTGTAACTTACAAAAAAAATCAAACGACAACAACAAATACAACCAACCAACCAACTAACCGACTTGATAAACTCGCAAATTGAAATGTGAACTGCCAAATGAAAACAAAAAATGCTTTAAAAAAATATATATATACCACCAACTGGGTGATAACAATGACAATAATAACATTTACAATAAAAATTGTCACAATGTGTATTTGCCTTCAATTGCGTACAAAATTTGAAAAAAAATACTTTATGCCAATATCTAATTGCAATTGCATACAATAATGATAATAATAAAAATAACAATAACATTTAACAATCACAAATATGCACATGAAAATCCACAAAAAAAAAATCGTTCATTTCACTTGCCAATACCGTTAATCGAAATAATCGAAAAAAATATTTTCATCTTTTCCAGGTATAAAAAAAATGTTTGGTTTTAGTCTTTGCCTTAGAACATACATTAAATAAGAAAAAAATTGTTTTTTATTTAACATTTAACATTGTCAGTACATTTTTAAAGCGTATGTAAGAGATTTTTATTTTCAGGCGTTTGTTTGCTATAGAAGCCAACGATTTGGCAAATTCATTGCAAATATTTACTTATTATATGTAAAATAATAATATAGTTATTACTGTTCAAGTACAAAGTAAAATAAGCACTATCTGCATAGGCTTTCAACTCGTCATTACAAATATGTTGCCAATTAATTCGGAAAAAAGGCAAAACCGTGATTATATTATATATACTATATTTATATTATATATGCTATGGTGATCCCATCCCAAACTAAAATCTCTGAATCGGCTTAGTTCGTATATGATGTCGACATTAAAAAGGGTCTCCGAGCTATTTCCTGGGTGCTACCAACTTTGTAACGAAGTTAATAAACCCTGTTCCGGTTATAAGTATATATCTTTTTCTTCTTTATTGGTATAGATATCGCTTACGCAGTTGTAGGCGAGCTCACAAAAACGCGCCAGTTATTCCTTCTTTTCGCTTATTGGCTCCAAATTGGCAGACTTAAAGCAGCCAGATCCTTCTCCACCTGATCTCTCCTATTCCACCGCCGGGTACTAAATCGAAAACCCTCAAAGCTTGAGTGTTTTCACCAATTCGGATGAATTGACTTAGCCAGCGTAGCCGCTGTCTCTTAATTCGCTGAACTATGAAAATGTCGTCATATATTTCGTATCGTTCCATCGAATGCGCTATTTGCCGTTGAAAATACGTAAAGGATCGTCAGAAGTTGACATCATTCATGCTTCTGCACCACTGAGCAGTACGGGATGATTAGTGAATTGTAGAATTTGGTCGAGAGTGGACTTAATTTCTCAATTACTACTCAGTCCGAAGTGGCACTTGTTGGCGAGAGTTATTCTGCGTTGGATTTCGAGGCTGATATTATAGTTGCTGTAAATACTGGTTACAAGATAGACGAAATTATCTACGACTTCCTAGTTATGACTGTCAACAGTGACGTAGAGGCCAAGTCGTGAATATGACGACTGTTTGTTAGATTACAGAAGATATTCTTTCTTGTCCTCGTTCGCTACCAGACCCATTAGCTTCACTTCTTTGTCCAACCCGGAGAAAGCAAAACTACCGCGCAGTTGTTGTAGCCATAAAGGCAGCTCATTTTCGTGCTGCCAAAGGTAGCTTTGAGATTTACGAAGAGATGGTGTGTGTCGATTCTCTTTTCATGGGTATTTTCCAAGATTCATTATATATTATTATATGCGATTTGGAGATTTATCCAGCGGTTATTGGCGCAGATTGTGGGGTTTCCCTTTTTGCAGGTTGGGCTAAACACACTTAAATTCCAATTATCAGGCAATTTTTCGACCAATCGTATACTACAAAGAAGATGAAGAAAGATCCTTATTAGTTCTTCGAGACCGATTTATATTAACTGCTGAAAGATTCCATCGGTCCCAGCCATTCTGTTGTTGTTCAGACGGATAATTACTACTCCAACGTCTTCATGGTCGAACAGTGAAACGTCTGCTCCATCGTCATCGATTGGGGTATCGGGTTCATTATCTATCATGTTGTGATTACACCTGTTTGCCGTCGAACTTTCTTAGTGTTTTTTATGCTGCACAGAGGCGAGTGCGTATCGTGGCTGCAACAAGATAGTCGATGGTAGGGTTTCGGAGTTTTCCGTCTTCTTCCGTCTATCACAACTTGATCAAATTGGAGGCTTTGCTATCTGGAGACAGCCAGGGCAGGAAAGCCAAGTAGCTTGATGAATCTTCTTATGCTGGAATCTAGTACCAACTACGGATAACAATATTTCGGGCCCCGGCAAAGTCGGTCAGCCTGAACGCATTTGGGGTTTTTTGTTTCATCGCGGAGCCTGAATTTACTGACCGTTGTACCAAAGATTTCTTCTTTGCCCATCCTGGCGTTAAAGTCGCCAAGCACGATTTTGACATCGTGGCGGGGGCAGCGCTTCAAGCCCTCATTAAAGACAACTGTGGTCATATCGTCCTTCTCTTCTGTCGGGGCGTGGGCGCGAATCACCGATATGTTGATGCACTTCGCTTATATGTGGATTGTGGCTAGACATTCATCCACCGGCTCAGTTCTTGTGCCGTCCATCGCACTTCTTGGATGGCTGTGATGTCAGCTTTTCCTCTTACGAGTACATCAACCAGCTGGCCGGTTCCACCTTTCCACTTAAGATACCGGATGTGCCAGGTGCATGCCCCTAATACGTTTGCAGTAATCGTCATCAAAAGAGCGATCTCTCACCAGAGGCTGTTTTGACATTGGCGGCGCTTTTCTTAAGTGCTGGGTCCCGGACCCATGCTCCTATATGTGTCCTTGTGTGTGAATGAGGAGATGGCAGGAACGATTCGGTAGAACTAAATTTAATTCCACGCCAATCTATCCTCACTTAATTAGCTTTTCAGTATTAAAAAATGAAATATGTATGTACTTTCAAACTGATGCGAAATAAAAATCTCTTACACAATAGTCTTCGAAAATCAAATTAATCAAATTTTGTAAAAATTATTAAAAAAATTTGTTTAAAAAATATTTAAAAATAACGGTAATATTAACAGCGCTTTAAGTTTGCTTCTATTTTATGGAAATATATTTGCTAGAAATTTTAAAAGTCTTATGCAATTGGTTGTAAACTAAAAAAAAAAAATATTGTATGCAAAATTTCAATATACGGAATTGGTTTGGAAAACGTAAAATTTTAAAAGTAATACTATTATGCAATAGAAAAAAATAGTGGCAGCTTAGCGCAGATGCAAAATAATTTCGGTTTAGAATTTAAATTGTTTAGTGTTTGCAAAATTTCGTTTATTATTTCATTTGTCTTGGCTTTTAGTCTTCTATTATGTCAGATTGTACAACATTTTCATTTTCATCTGTTTTATGTATTAATGCCGTTATTTATTAAACTACTAACAACTACTGCGCACATTTTATGATTTCCCAAGAAGATCCACACCATTCTTCAACCTTATGTGCAAACTATTACTTAGCATACATAACTGTTAGTACATATTTACACCCACACGTAAACTATATACACACATACTTACCTACTTGCTTACATACATACATAGTATTGACTGGGATAAAACACAATATGATGATGAATGATCGATTTTAATCAAGCTCACGTTTTTTTATTGTTGTTCAAATTTTTCATACAACCACAAACCAAAAATAAAACGTACATATCTACTACCTACGTACATATGTTTACCACTCGACCAAAATCCGAAAACTATTAATTTGCAAATTGAATCAACTATCATCGCATCACCAACAAATCCAATCAATCAAACAAACTAAAATATATATATATATATTTTTATATAAATTTATATACAAATTTACATAACCAAATATATTATGACATTAATATTTGCGAAAAACCAATCAAAATCAAACCATAAACAAATAAAAATTATCAAAAATTAACAAACAAAAAAAACACCACAAATATGAAATGCAAACCGCAAAAAAACGATTTTATGCAAATTTCTAAACATAAATAAAATTAACTTATTTAAAACTCAAAATGCATGCTCATGCATAATTAAAAAATAACTGAAAAATAATAATATTCAAAATGAAATGAAATTTAAAAAATGAAATAAATGGTTCAATGGATGTGAATGTGGCTGCTTGATGGATGGCGACATGATGACAACAACCACCACAACAACGTTGGAAACTTGTGTGATGACTCGTTGCACGCCGGCAACACAGACGCAAGACCACTACACTCAAGTACGATCCGCCATATTCGAAAAAGCCCATCGCCAAGGGCTATGCCAGCGCCGCAGCCACTGCCGCAAATCATCACTCGGTCGAGGAGGTTTCACTGGACGGTTCCAGCAAATTGGTCTACGCCAACCAGGCCGGCTTCAGGTGCGACACAAAAACTACCCCCAAAAAAAGAGGTTTTTTAACATTTAATTTTTACAAATTGCAGGGATAAAAGCATACATGGTCGCCGTTATACCGGCGGCGGCGAGGACGATCAGGCCCATTCTGGTAGGTACCCTGTTTGCCTTTTTGCCACACACACACAATCAATTGTACACTTCTCTAAATTGCATTCGTTACTAAACACGCATATTATATATCTACTAACAACAACAATAAACTCTTTACACCCACAAACCTATATATAAGTACACACAGACCAATGCCACTTGTTGACGTTCCACCTAATTGTGCTCAGCCCTGATTAGTGTTGTTAGTTGCAATAAAAAATCATAGAAACAATAAATCAATTATTTAAAAAAAATTTAAATACAAATACAAATAATACCGTTAATTAAATGAGTGCTGTACTCGTATTTATTGCATACATACCTACTAATATATAGTACAAGTACATATGCTGTAACTTCTACATACCAAATTACATACTCAAATATACCACATAACTAACAATTAGTTAGTGCTTGCCGTGCCGTTATAAATAATTATTACAATTACAATACAGTTACGTCGCATTCAATGTTTTTGTCAGTTTCGATTTAGTACATACTAAACTTTAGTCTAGTCTAGTCTGTTAATTGTGATTAAATGCGCTTCAAATTTCTGCTTACAGTTTTGTTTTTTAATGCAACATAATTGACATTCACTTCAAGTAATCTCGTATCTCAGAAATACAGTAATTGTGTGGCGTTGTAGTGGCAGCGAACGCCTTGAGCGTGGACTTTATGAGACAAATGTGTACTAACTTGACTTATGGTGGGATATGCCATTCGAAATCGGAACCTCAATCTAATGCAGTGGCATCTATATTTCACTTGCGAGTGAATTTCGACTAATTGTGTTTCAGAGTTGCAAAGATCGGCAAAATTACTCACTCGCAAGGAAGGCATTGCTCGAATATTCTTTTGTTTATTTACTCACATTGAAATACCAGGTTGATCAATAAGTTTTGTCGTTTGATATTAAAAACACGAATTCATAATTCAAAATACACTTTATTATTCAGTATAATCTCCCTGAACATCTATGCACTTGCTCCTCGATCTTCCAACGATCCTGTGGAACCATCCCTGAAGTGAGTATCCGGAAGGTCTGCAAAATACGATTCAACAGCTCTTATGACCCCTTCTGAATAAATGGAAGTCGCTGTGGGCCAAATACGTTGGATGCTCCAACAATTCGAACTTTAGTTCATGGATTTTAGCCATTGTCAAAATACTCTTGTTACACGGTACATTGTCTTGATGAAAAAGTACTTTTTTCTTCTTCAACCCGTGTCTTTTTTCACGAATTTTTTCCTTCAACTGGTCCAAAAGGACATTCAGAATTATTTGTTTACCAGTTGGTAAGTAATTCCCAAACATAATTCCTCTCGCATCCCAAAAACTGATACCTTAACCTTCTTGGCAGATTTCCGGACACGAATTCGTTCACACCACTCTTTAGCCTCTTGTTTTATTTGAGCATCATGGTGATACACACAAGTTTCATACATGGTAATGAATCGTCGCTTAAAATCCACTTTATCTTTTTTAAAACGCTCCAAATGTTGTTGAGAAAGTCGCATTCGAATGGGTTTTTGTTCCACTGTTAGCGAATGCGGCACCCATTGTGCACACAGCTTTCTAAAACCCAATTTTACTTAAAATATGGCTCACACTGCCTAAAGTGATGTGTAGAGCCTCCGCTAAACCCTCTCAGTCAATTGTCAATTTTCCAAAACCATATTCTGTATTTTGGCTATGATTTATCTTGCTGATATACTTTTTGGACTTCCTTCACGTAGATCGTCTTTAAGGCTTGTACAACCACTTTTAAATTCAGCAACCCATCTTTCTACTGTTCTAATTGTAGGTGAACAAGCATTATACACTATTAACATTCATTCGTGAATTTCTTTTGGTGCTATACCTTCCAAAAATAAGAATTTTATCGCTGCACGATATTCGACTTTTTCAATTGTAAAAAAATACCGTGACATGGTGACGCTAAATTGCTTGTAAAGAAAGAATTGATAGATTGAAATGAAACTTCACATACGCTCATATGAAGAGCGTACCAACAAAACCAAAAAAAAACATGCTGCTAGTAGCCCTCTCTTATCATGCTACTAAACAAATTGAGCAACCTGGAATAATTATTTATTATCAATATTAAGCAGTGATTGTCCTTTTAAATTGTGTGCACAAACCGATTCAATAAAAAAAATTTTGGCTTGACTGATGTAACCTTTTTTTATGCTCGTGTGAAGCTTAATCTTCATTAGTAAAGTAGTTTGTGTTTGAAAGATATTTGTTTCCGACGCGAAGAACTTATCTGACGTATTTTATATGTTTCGCCAAACAACTATATGGTCAACGCAATCATGGCGCGTTCTCCGCATCGGGATTTTCTCTTATGAAAACAGATGTGACACGAGGAATGTAACGGCACACTCAGGCCTTTTTCAATGACTAGTTTTGGAACACTAACACCCAAAACATTAACCAAAATGTGTTGAGATGATCCATTAGATATTTTGTAAACCTCTGTTATCTCTCTGATGCCAACGATTTTAAGGCACTGTTTATTTAACTTGTTTGCTATCTTCGTTAACAGAGATGGATAGACGACTTGAAAGTAGACATCAAAAAGCCTTTCTGCAATATACTTAAGGATTCGATTTCGATGCGCAATGCACCAAAAATGATACTAGCTACTCAGTAACTTAGGCTTATCCAAACTTAGTAAGGTCATAAATAACTAATAATTGTAATAATATCGAATCATATATTTAATTTTTAAGACAACAAAATCAGAAAAAATGACTGATCTCTTGCGCTGCGTTGACAAATATATTCGCACTTAATCCGCTTCCGATAAACCATTTTGTTCAAATCTTGCCAAACCAGTATACGATTGTTTAGCTCATAGAAATTGCACTATGCATTTATGTTGTAAGGCCAAAATTCCAGATGGATACAAATTGTCAAAATTTCTATACAAGCGAGTGAGGTGGAAACATCAAGCCACTTTTTGCTCTATAATCTAGATTTTGCACCACTGAGACTAAAACAGCTGGGCAGTAAACCTTCGCCGAACCAAGATTACTGCCGGAGCTGACATTATGATCATTTTTACAACGTACCACAACGAAACAGAGTTATAAGCTATCCAAGTGTGATCCTGCTGGGATCGACCATTAAACCTAACCAAAACTAGGGAACTTTAGAAGCCTATGAAAGTAATATCTATAGATTCCACTTCAAGTTTGATCAATTTTACTTATGTTTGTGCAGAATACCGCTATTTAGGGCATGACAGGCGTCAGGGTAAATCATTGTTCATATTTTGATTCGCTGAGGTACGAATTTGAATGGCAGTCCAGAAACCTCTGTTAGTACTTACTTGTTTTTAAACTGGCTTCATCTTAAAGCAAATACATTGATAGTCTCCTTGATTACTCAACCAAATGCGCAAACAAAATATTTAAATTTACAATGATTACACTAACAAAATTCGCAACGCTTCGTGCACTTTAACGAACGTCAGCACAATCACTCCTTGCACTCAAAGCAGCCTCAGCTGCGCCGTACGCACTCGCACTTGCACACAGTGGCCACAGCCAAACTAAATTAGATAAACATTATATTCCTGATTCTTTTTCCCACACAAAACCACGTAAACGCGCCAACAACAACAACAAATCCGACACAACAGAAAAGGGTATATTGAAGAAGCACAGCTATGGACTGGTGCACAATGAACAATTGAAGGATAAATGGGGCGACGATGTACAGTCCGACAATCTCGAGCTTATAACACAACAGGACGGTGCACTCGGCGCCTCCACCAGCGGCGGAGCGGCGGTCTCCGAAGTAGAGCGCACACTCAAATCGCTCAACGGCTATCACGAAGACATATTGGAGGCACTGCGTAACGCGGCCTCACATCGCGGCACCGCTACCGGCAATACGCCCGTCGGCAGCGGCAGCCTAAGCGAAGAGATGCTGCGCAAGACACTGCAAGACTGCCAAAGCGCACAGCTAAGCTACAGCGTGGAACCGTACAAGCGCTCCAGCGGTTCCAAGTCGAGCTCACGCGAGAACATCTGCGACCCGGCACAAGCGCACATGCTGATCGAAAGTGCGGGCATTGGCGGCCATGCCGGCGCCATATTGCATCATCATCGCTCGCAGCATCAATTGCATCAGCCGCCACAATCAATGCAGCAGCAGCAACCGCCGCTGGACGACGATGATGCCCCGTCGACTGGGCCATTGCGCATACGCAATCTGGAGGATCTGATACGACAGCTGGAGCATCACTCGTCGCGTCACATGAGTCCTAGCGGCTCCGAGGACATTCGAATGTCCGAAACGGAGGCCGATCGCCATTATAGATTAGATAGTTCCGCCGCTTGCAGTGAATCGTCGCAAGGGTTAGTAATCATTTGAAAATACAATGTGTGTTTAACATATGCGATTTCGATTACGATTTTGTTTATGTTTTTTGCTGATTTTTGCCGATTCGTAATGAGCGTTAAATGGGTACTGTTTATTACATATATATTATACTTTGATTCGACTATTTATTCAGTATTTATATATACTATATACCTATATATACACATACTACATACTCGTACTTATGCATTATGATATATCGATATATCTTCGTTTTCAATTTGTCACTTTTTTACTTTGTATTCAACCGAATTTTGTATGTTGGGGCTGTAGGTGCCTATTTTTGGTTAGAAAAGAAAAACGCTTCAATTAACAACAAGAACAACAACTAACTAGTCCATATATGTATTTGTTCTTAGGTGATCATAGTTATATATGTATACCTGCTCATGTGTATGTATGCGTGTATGTGTGTATGTATGTTTGTGTGTGTTGCTGCAACCCGCTTTTACTTGCTGCCACATATGTAAATATGTCGTACTCCTTACTATATTTAACACGCATATTCACACACTTAGTCGTAATTTCCAGTAGCGAAGCAGTGAAAAAATAACAAAATGAAAATAAAAATATTTTTTTTTAAATAAAATAAAAAACTAAAACAACAACAAAATGCACTGATGAAACACATTGCACTGAAATTATTTGCAACTCTTAATATTCTTTCAGGATTTAGACTGGAATATCTGGTGTGATAAAGGTTGGTTCCCATTTGATACTCTTACGCACACTCTCGCACCGCTAGCTTTATGCTCATTGACATACACTAGATATACCTATAACTAAGTTATATTTGAGTAGTTTCTCTATATTCAAAAATAGGCACCTACATATGCTTAACCCTTACTTGAAGTTTGCTGCAATGAAAATCGCATTTTTTGGGAATATAATCACTCTTGTTACTTTGTCAAAAGAATTTGAGTTTTTTTTTTTTTTCATTTTAAATTTCATGGTTATGTTTAATGAAAGTAAAAAGATTCAAAATATGCATTCTGAACACATTAACCGACTTTTTGGGTGTCAAAAAACGTTACATTATCTCTTACGTACGAAAATAAAAAGAAACTCAGGATTGTGGTTGACTCAACAAGTCGAAGTTTTTATTGGTGAAAAAATCAGTTAATTCGCGGTCACTCTCATTACCGTGACGAAGATTGATCTGTTTGCTTGTTGATTTCCCTGATTTATTGACTGCAAGCTGAAGAAGCACTTAACATGGGCCCAGCTTTTTATGCAAATTGCTCGCGACAAGGAGCTTGAAACTTCAGAACAACTGCTAATTGATTGCATAGCAATTTGCAGACGCATGATAAAGGCCCTTGGATCAAAGTTTTCATAAAGCGTGAGGTAGGTCGTTGTGATTTAGGTACAATTGACCTAGGGTTGCGATTCAATCCTTATCTATTTATCTTATATTAATGTCACTATTCTTCACTTGTCATGTTGTCATAGACTTGTTTCACCGATTCTTAACATTTCTCACGACCAATCGAAACAAACCTTTTTTGGGGCGATTCACAAATTGTGTAGAACGTGAACAAACTTTTTTACAACCACAAGTCTATGCAATGCTGAATGTCTCACTAGAGCCCCTAGTTGACATGACGATCTTTCAATAACTGTTTGCACACACCATCAATAGTTTCCGGAATCAAAGTTGATTTTGAACGACATATACGAGATTCGTCTTAGAGATTAAATTCACCAAACCATCGATAAACGCTGGTCCTTGCTGAAGCTTTATCGTGAAAAATTGAACTAAGTTCATCTGTGCACTCTTGATCAGTTAATCCACGTCTAAAGTGATGAAAAATAATCGTGTGAAAATGTTCGAGTTTTAATTCCCATTTTTGCTTTTTTTAGAAGAATATTTTAAGTTACTCGAAGTTAAACAAGGCGCTCGAATATCAAATGTTCTGAGTATTTATCATCAACAGATGTCTGAGCAGAGGGCAACACTAGGGTTGGTAATAAAAAAACCAACTTACGTAGAGTTCATATTTGATAAAAAAAATATTACTTAATCTCGCAGGTATGTCATGTGATCTGAGGTATAGCATAAGTGTTGTGTTTCAGATGGCGATTACGATTTTGTCCACTTTTCAAGACCAAATGAAGTTAAGTGAACGCATTCCTAATAGAGACTTAAGAAGAGACCTAAGAACCACCGCAATCACAACATAAGGGTAGTGATATAGAAAAGTTTTCTTTAACGACAAATCTTAAAAGGACACTAAAAAATATTTTCAAAAAATGTTGGAACTAAAAAGATCTTTTTGAATATATCTAAATATTGAGTTCATATCAAAAAGCGATTTCCATTGCAACAACTGCATTGCGCGTATAGAATATGTACATTCATTTGTTTGTTAATTAATCAAACTTTTTTTCAAGTATCACCATTTTCTATTTTTCGTACAAAACAAAAATTTAAATAATGTTTTTGTTTTGTGTTTTTTTTTCGTGTGTGTGTATGTGTTGACGCGTGTATGTATATGTAAATGTATGTACATATGTATGTAATTTCATTAACATATACCTACATATGTATGTGTTGTATTCGTCTCTGTTGAATCGCAGCTCAAATCAGCAATTAGCACAATCACAGAAAACTGCAACAATACATCCGTCTTACAGCAGTCGTTTGCGCCCGCGCTCCGACGAGGAGTCGCGCTTCGCCTACGGAAGGTACAGACACCCCCAAGCAGCTAGTAGACATCCATCGCATCAATCGCATTCACCTCATGCTTTCGGCCATCATACGCATCATTCGCACGCCCACGGTCATGCTACGCACGGCCCACACTCATCACATCACTCGTCGCATACACACTTGCACCAGGACGACGAGGGTATATACGAGAGTGCCGATCACCATGAACGTTCGGTGGTCGAGGCACGACTCGATCCGCGTGAAACACCCGACAGTGAGAGGTAGGTACTCGTTACATTCACTTTCGCTCACACAGGCTCTTCCCCTCCTACCTCTATATATATATATATATATACAATCGCTCTATGTCTCTCTATCTATACCCCACCCGCAAACCCATTTATCCAATTTACCAAAGAAATACCTAAAAAAAAAAACGAAAAAACCTTTCCTCTCAACCCTCCAAACAAAATTTTATACAAAATTCAAAAATATATACCACTGTCCTCGAAGTCCACTTTGTTAAAAGCTAACATTTCCATCCCATCCCACTCCACTCCACTAACTTAATCACACATACCTACGTACCATACTTAGTCTCCCAAACCCATCCGCACTCCACAGTCCGCTCAATCCCGTATGCCCGAAAACACTTTGTAGTACTCCCACTGTCGCTTGCAAACTCAAACGCTGTCCAAATTCCAATTTGACTTAATTTCTGTATTTCATCCTTTAACCCACGCGTACAGTCTCTGGCTGACGTTGTCCACCCTCTTCCAGATATCCAATGTCCTACACTGATTTCCCACATCCAGCCAACGCAATCAGTTCGTACAAACGACCCTTAACCTCAATTGATATCCCAATTTATGAACTCTTATTTTCGAGATATGCTTATGTAATTATTATTTGATTATTCACCTGAATTCGATTCGACTCCTTTGTTCTCTTTTGACATTTTGTAAATTTACCGCAATTTCAGTTGAAACTTCTCCTTTCTTAATTAACTTGCTGTACGTAATTGTAGTGGTAGTGTTGTAAAGTGAAACCAAAACCAAAACCAGCAAAATCACAAAAGAAAACACGAATACCGAAAAACTGTATTTAGACGTATAATGCTATTTTAAGTAACTGTAAAATACACTCGAAATGCAAAAATTAATTACACATTAACCTAAGCAACTGTAACTGTAAATTAAATGCAAATTAACGGTGAATATTAGTATGCTAATGGTAGAGCCCACAAACCGGAATGCATTCCACAATTAAATATATAGTTAATTTAGTACAATTAATTTCGTTCCTTCAGGGGAAATACGCGAAGAAATGTTCCTTTAAAGATTTTGAAAAAAAATATATATATTACAATTATGTTACTTACATATTTACATGTGTGTTGTGTCTCCCTTTTACCCTTTTATTTGTTATAAAAACGCCCCTACTGCCTTTTTTTACATTTATTGTGACAAAAAAGTACCCGGAAATTGTAAATAAAACGGAATATATATTTCATTATTCATCAATATTTATTTTGTCGTCTTCAAAGTAGAAGTTCGTAAGAATTTCTTGAGATGACCCTCAGCTCCTTCAGCGAATTATGTTCATATCTTCGATCGGCGGGTTCGAAGTAGCAGCAATTTCAGTTTGGGGAACCAGAAAAAATCACACAGAGCCAAGTCTGGTGAATACGGTGTGATTGATGATATTCATTGGGATTTTGCCTTTAAATTTGGTCAAAAAATTAAATAATTAATTTTACTATACTATACTATAAATCCTTTTACTATAGGAAATTACTGAAAACTTCGAATTTTGAATAAGACAAAAAAGTGTAAAAAGAGAAGAAGTTTTGAAACTTAGGTTAGATTAGGTTGGGTTAATCTGGTAGGCCAAGCATAGACCAGTTTTGGTCTTCAGCGACACCAGCTGGAGTTCAGTTGCTAGATCCATGAGGAGTAGTCATCCTTTAGGATGCCTGCGCTTGACGCAAATTATAACAAACTATGCGGCCTAACCATCGATACCTCCTTCGGTGTATCATATCGTTGGGACCCCAGATGCTTACAGCGTAGTTTGTCAATGCGGGGCATGTGCATAAGAGAGGCTCCATTGTTTCCCTAGTGCCTTACTGTAGACATTTCCCGCAGTCTTCTCGATCTGGCAGTCTCATTTTGAGGGCCTGTGTCTTCCATATCTAAAATGGTGATCTTTACTTCGGACTATTTAACTTTCTAATAAGATAGTCTCCACAAATCATTATGGCAGAAATTTTCAATTGAATATTTTTATGAAAATCTTCCTGAATTGTATTGCTTTTACACGAAATCAAGGTAAGTTGTCCGGGCAGTCACAGAGCTCGAATTATATTTTAAAGTTTCTGAGAGTAAGATGAATATCTTATCTGCTTAACCGCAATGCGTCCCTTTATATGTTGAACAGAGGAGCCAGAAATAAACGCCAGAGACGTGACATCTGCTCAATTTAGATATGTCCATCCTTCCCTCCGTCAGTACACATGCGAAATTTTGCGCCATTTGGAGACTTCAAGCCCGGTCTTGGAGTAGAGGTCTTACTTTTCCTCCACTTCCCCTGCGGTTACTGCGTCGAATACTCTCAGAGCTGGGATGTTTTCATCCTTTCGGACGACATGACCTAGCCAGCGTAGCCGCTGTCTCTTAATTCGCTGAACTATGTCAATATGGTCGTATATCTCATAGAGCTCATTGTTCCATCGAATGAGATATTCGCCGTGACTAAGGGGGAAAGGACCATAAATCGCAGAACCTTTCTCATAACGCTGACTCATCAGATATTGTCATCGTCCATGCCTCTGCACCATATACTCGTAGCAGCACGACAATAATGAGTGACTTATAAAATTTGGTTTTTATTCGTCGAACAAGGACTTTACTTCTCAATTGCATACTCAGTCCGAAGTAGCACCCGCTTGCAAGAGTTATTCTGCGTTGGATTTCGAGGCTCACGTTGCGAGTGCGACGATTGTTTATTATCGACAGGAAATATTTCTCTGGTATCCGTTCAGACCCGTACGCTTTGCTTCCTTTTGCAGTCAGCTCTACAGTTTTATAGAAGATTGTACCTTTACACCTTAGCTTAGGTAGTATAAAACGTTATACTTATAACAATCAAGTAGTCGGGGCGTTCTTATAAATGATCATATTAATTTAGTGTCATTTCTCAAAAGCTTCCCGTGCATCAGACATAATTGTCTCACTTAGTTATTTGTAAACCATTTTAAACAATATACCATCCAGCAACTCATGTCATTCATATCATTTATTCAGTGAACCACAAAGCATGCATTTATAACCCCATCTGAGCTATCACCTACATAGATGTAAGTGATTCCATGACATCGTAAATGCCATGAAATTACACTTTTTTATTTATCCCGCACCTCATTTATGCAAATTACTGATGTTATTTTTAGAATTTCGTTAATTAACTTCCATTATATTCCGTTAGTTTATCACAAAGTCATATTCACCTGACTCTAACCTCAACATCTTCATTTCCCTTCTCATGCCACCACCCACCTGTCGCGCATTTCAACACATTTGCACATTTTCATCAACACCTAAAATCACATATTCACCAAATTCCGCTATTAATTTAGAACATGCCCAGCAGGAATTTCGCGATAAATTTATTCATCGGTCAATTTTTTTTTGAAATAAATCATTCCAAACAATTTTCTAACGAATGAAGATGATTTAAATATGCTAACAACTCTTTTAGTATGCAAGACGTGATGTGCTGTTAGTTAGACTGCAAGCTTTTGAACCATTGTAAAATTATTTTCAAGAAGTTGGTTTTGAAAAATGCTATCTTTGTTGTTGATCTTTCAGATTGTATAGTTTGTTACAAGCCGTAAAAGCAAGCAGCACAGATCTACGCATTTCGCTCAGTTTCATCACATAATCTATCTGTTTTGTACATGCATTTCCTACTGGGTCGCTCTATACTCCACAATACTTTAACTGCTGTAAATACATATACACCGAAAATCGCACAATCTCATTTATAAATGCACATACAATTACATACATAAGCATACCGATGTACATAAGTACATACATACGATATACTATACTATATATATATATATATGAATGCTACTCATTCACGTTTGTCTGTATGTGGATTGTGATAATCATTAATTGGTTTTCGTTACTGTTTTCTTTGGTCTCGTTTCATTCGTTTTGAATTCGTTCGATTTTCTGCATACTACAAACATACTTTTATTATTTCACTCTTTGCAATGCATTCCTGCCTGCCATTCTGCTGCAAATTCTTTTACTTTCTTTTCATATCTGATTGAAAAACAATTTTCAAAAACTTTTTTGGTTTATTCTTATTTTATGAAACAAATATGTTCTTCACAAACATATTAAATTCAATTTATGTCACTTCTAACTTCGTTTTGTTCATTGCTCATTTATTTCACACAACATTTTTTACTGCATTTCACTTTACTCGTTTGTTTCGCAATTTATACAACTTCATCGTTCATTTTGTTCAACTTCAATTTCGTTGTATTAATTATATTTTATGGTTCGTTCATTTCGTTTCGTTTGTTCGGCTTCGTTCTCATTTTATCGTTTCGTTTTGTTAAATTTTTCGCTTCGTTATCGTTTCCTTTCGTTTCTTTCGTTCGGCCTCGTTTTCATTATTTCATTTCCTTTGCTATATTTCTCTTCGGCTTCGGCTTCGTTCTGATTTGATCATTTCGTTTCGTGCTCGTTTTTTTCGTTTCGTTAAAATTCCCGACAACCCGTTTTTTCTTTTTGTTATTCCGTGTACCGCTGTTCCTGTTATGATTATTATTTTCTAGTGATGACTTTATTCAAGCTCAACAACAGTTAGCCCGGTGGGCGAGTGAGGATGTGGTATCCGTCGTGGTATTGGATCAACCGCAATCCGGCACAATGTCGGATTCCCAACAATCCAGCGGCGTCGGACCAATGTCAACGGCTACAACGAGTACCGTTATACATCATCAACACCCGCACCAGCACCACGGCGATCATCCATCCTCGGCAGCGGCCTCATCAGCAGCGGCGGCGGCGGCAGCAGCAGCGGCAGCCAACAGCAACTCTATAATGGGTTTGGGGGTCGTGTCAAATGGTATAAATGTAAGTCAGAGGGACTATTACCCCTCGCCACCCTCAACGGAGACGGAAAGCAGTGGAAGTGTTATCCAACCGCTCAGCCGTCGTTTGCCTATACCAGCCGATACCGGCCAACAGCAAGCGCAATTGCAGCAACTGCACCAACTGCATCAGCATCATCAGCAGCAGCAGCTGCAGCATCAGCAGCAGCAGCAACTGCAGCTGTTACAGCAGCAAGGCGACACCACCAGCAGCAGCAACAACAGTCAATCAGGACAAATAATGGAGAATGGTCGATATCCGGAATATAAACACTGATGAAAATGTCAACGCGTACAGCAACAAAAACAACAACAGCAGCAACAACAAATGCAACAACACTAGCAATAAAACCTTTAGTCAAAGGTAATACCGAAATGAGTGAAAACTAAACGGGAATTAACCGAACAACTTGTTGTTGTGTTGGCTGCAATGCGCGAATGCAACACGAAGCAGCCAAAGATGCCTCATCGGCATTGACAGCAGCACATTTCTTATTGCGGCCTGCAAAACGAAGAAAAGCGAAGTGCTTCGCGCTGTTTAACGAACATATAAACAAACGAACGAAGCGAACGAGCGAACGCGATATCGACCGAAGCCCAGCAATGTGATTTTATACAAAGTAGCATTTTAGGTTATTCAATTAAATAAATTGCAAACGAAAATGATTTGGTAAAATTATTAATTAAATTAATTAATTAAAAGAAAACCACAAAAAAAGAAAACAAAAACGACTCAGAAACAAAATTTCAAATAGAAAGTAGGCTTAGATAATTTACCAAAATACCAAAAAACCAAAATACCAAAAAACCAAAAATAGAAAATAATATTAATTGTGTGCACTTGAAGCAGTTGAATCGTGAATTTATTACAACAAATTAATGTGCGAATTTGCGCCTACAACAAAAACAAGAAAATGAACGCAAATCGTTTCGCAAACTAATTCGAATAAGTACATACCTACACACACACATACACATACATGACTAAGTATGTATTTGTAAATTTTGTTATTCCCTTGCATTGTACATATGTATGTATTGACTAGCATTATCGTTAAGCTCCACAAACTTCTTTATACTAAACACATGTAAGTATGTATGTCTGTATGTACATATGCACCGAAGCCTATGTACTTCAGTGCTACATAAGTATGTACATACTCGTACATGGATTGATGGTGTAGACTCATCGTACCCTAACCGCATTGCACATAACTGTATTTTACGCGTATATATATGTATGTATAAGTATTACAACCACAACACACACACACACCCACACACAAATCTGCACACATGTACGTTGCGTAGAAGTGTACGAATTTGCCAATTAACATTAAGCCAGCATTGATGTCTCACACACATACGCATATACGTCACACATATGTATAAACCAATACATACACTGTAGGCGTATATGCGTATAGGGGCATACATAGCTATGTGTGTGTGTAATATATTCGTACTCATAGAGTTTTTGTAGTTAGCGGATGCAAATGGAATTATGCAGAAAAAGACGATAGCAACAAATTAACAAACAAATCAGCATAGATTAATGGAAAACTGAAAAGTTAATTAACTGTATAGACCCAAAACATAGTAAAACGTAAAATTGTGCAAACTTAGCAGTGACGAGCAACGCTAATAACGGCTAATGCCTAATGCTTAAATAAGAACAAAACTGCAGTTAGGGCTTTTCCCGGCCCCACGCGTACAACTTTTTTAAATATCAGACTAACCGAATTGAGTTATAAGTTATCATGACTTACTCCTATTATTAGAAAAAAGTTTAAAAGTTTGAAAATTTGTTATTTTTATACTCAAAGCTACTTGCGTCTAATCAAATGTTCCTTTACGTAAAGAGTTTTCATATTTATTATGACGTCACTGAGATGAGCCGGGATCAACATTGGGCTACAACAACTGTGAACACGTGGAATAACACAATTTACTCTTCTTAGTTATGCTTTACTTTGATCGGGAATTTTTACACAATTTAAAGGGCCCAACTTCCTTCGCCCTGCTGTTGATTTGCATTCTACTATTATTATTTATCATTTAGTTTATTTTTTGTTGTTCAGCAATAGGCAGCTTATATTATAGGACTACTTTTTCCCCTGTGAAAAAATATACTTAAGTCATTCTTTTTGGAATTCTCATCGATTACAGCTTTCAATTTTGAGCAAAGAAATTGTCATGAAAAAGCTGTACTGCACAGGAACACCTATTTCCCACTCTTAAAAATAACACGCCTACCATGTACGGCTATTAGTGGGCGTAGAGTAGTCGGTAGCCTAAGCATGCATCCAAATTTTGAGCAATTTTGTTAATTACTTTAAACGGTGTTACTACAAAGTGTAAAACCATGGGTGTTGTCTATGTTTTCAAATACACTGAGATCAGTGGACATCTGCAATTCAAAAGGCTGATAAAGTAGCCAGGACATTAGACTGGAAGTTTAGCAGTCGTCTTACATACCTAATATGATACCCAGCTTTTCTCAATAGTCATGCCTAATATATAAATAATAAATAAAATATTGTTTTTAAAGAAGCATATGATATTCCTATAAATGTAGAAAGTCTACAAATTTAAGCTCTTCACTTAGGTATACTGCCCATCAATCAATTTTCCACGATAAAGTTAAATGTATGTTTTAGTAACTCACTGAATGTCACTTCTGCTCTAAGCACTTCCCAAAAGTATTATGGAAGGCTTCTATGACGATGCTTATGAATATGAAAAGTAAAAAGTTTAAGTTTTGAACCGAGATTCTTGATATGCAGTTGTTTTGGATATAGAAAGGTCTCAGTATTGCCTAGGGTTTTTACCAATATAGACGTTTTAACCTTAGACAAAGGCTATTCGATCCGGTTCATGGCACGCACTCTATTTGTACTCCCAAACAGAACTTGAAAAATTCTGATATATTTTGATTACACAACTCAAAATTCTGTTCGGAATTATCAATAATCATCTATAACCATAACCATCATTTTAACGGTTTAGCTTCTGATTATTGAGAGCATTTGCAGTCTCAATGAGCTGAATTCTAACTTCATTCAAAATTAATTTTGAAAATTATTTCATGAGTTCGTCCTTAAGTGTCTCTGTTGTTCTCGATGTAGCGGCAGAAATCTACCGAATTGACAGCCCTAGGCGGATAAACATCCAAGTTCCATCCGGCTCCGGTCCGTCATGAGAACGGTATATAGTATATAATATATAATAAGTTCCTTTCTTGGACATAGTCTGTGTTCATCTTCTTCGGTGTTCATTGTATAAGCTTGCAGAATTCACCAAACTACTTACATATCTCTGGCCAACGTTACCCAACCTCAGTTAAACATTCGGCGCTAACGCATCACACACACATCGAGTCACTTATTGGGTAAAACATAGTGTTACACTGGAAACTGGAATTCCATTGTAGGAAGGTTAAGCCAAACAACAGAAATCAATTTAATTATTTAGCGCCCAGATGAAAAAATATAATCTTCATTATTGAAAATCTCTTAATAATTTTTCGTAGTCTCTTCTATCATCTTCTATCGAGTGCCAAAAGGAATTTTGTGTACTTCCGCACTATTGCTTTGCAAATGACTTTTGTAGTTTTGGACCCAGGTAGCACTCTCCAACCGATTTTGATTTTCTTTGCCATGCTTCTGTCTAGTTAGATCGTCATATAGATGATCGGGTATTAGCTGTGCGCCATTTTTGGCAATCTCGTTCCCTATTTCATTGCCTTCGATGCCTTGTGACCTGGCATCCTGCAGCCCTGCTTCCCAAGATACATCTGGCCGAGATGCCATACGAGGTTACTGCCTTGATAATTGTTCTTGCTAATTGTATCTTGTAATATATGCAGCCAGAGGGGGACGCTAATTAGTGAGCAAATATTGTGTTTGAAGAGAACTGGAAAATTTAATGCAAAAATGTGCATAAGCACATGGCAAGCATTTGTCTTAGAAGACTTGACTTTATTTGATGATTTATAAATTACATATTTATTTTATAATTTTCTAAAATTTCATCGACGTTGTTATATTTCAATTTAAGGGTCAAGTAAGCCCACAAATTGTACCGCCATCTTCAAAAAAAAATGTATAAACATATCTTACCCACACCTTCAGATTCTTGGAAGCATCGTTGATATCGACAGCAAAAAGGCAAACAGCTGGCTCACCGAATCTCAAAAACTTCACCAAAAAGTGTCTGAAAATAAATGATTGGAGCTGCTACAACTGACTTCACACACTCCAACGCTTAACTGTACTCCCGCCATACTTAAACTCGCTTGCAGCTGTCAATGCAAAGTTTGCACAAAAGCTCAACTATTACACACTTTCGAGCAAGCACATTAGACCATTTTATACGAACGCAAAAGTGTATTATAAAACCGGTGAAATTTATTTTATAAAAAAAAAACGAGATTTTAAATTATATTTTGAAGCCAGAGACACTCAAATCAATAATTAAATATTGATTACTAAAGGAGGATAGATAAAAAAAAACAAAAATAATTACAAATTAGTTTAGTATAAAATTAAAATGTCAATTTAAATAAAAAACAACAACAAACACACAAAATGATATTGTCTAATGATAAGACTTAGTAAAATATAAAATAAAAACCAAAAAATAATTTGCTGAATGGACCAAAGGTGTATGTATGTCATAATCAAGCATTGCCATCGTTGTTTCTGCCATCGATGTATGAAAATTTGGCCAAAATCCGAAATAATATTGGCTTGACAATTCACAGACAAACACACACAGTCTAACCCTTATACTGTAGATTAGGGATTAGAGCCGCATATAACACACTCACATGCACACATACAAAGCAAATAATGCAATAGCATGATATTCTAAAACACATATGTATTTGCATATAATTACTACACACATACAAGCATACTTGCATACATTAAACATACATAGCTGCGTTATTATTCATCGCACGTGTAAATATATTAGTCAATGGTTAGGCCATAAGCGTAGGATAACTTTTATAATATACCCAAATAGTGTATAGATCTGTAAATTTAGGCAAAACTGAAATTATTCACCAAAAAAAAAAAAAACTGCGTGTGCGTCCGACTGGCTTAGCTGCTGCTGAAGAGTATTGAAAGTACATTTAATAATTTCGCGACAAAAACATAAGTGAGCATAAGAGAAAAACAAAAAGCAGTATACTTCGCAACTCTGCAGGCAACGCTGGCAAATAGCGAGCACTTAATTTTTGAATTTTTCTTTGTTCTAAGCTTACCTAAT